GCCAGCTGCAGGCACCGCGCCGCCGCCAGCCGCAGCGCCTCGGCGCCGCTGCTCGCGCTGCACTGCTCCAGCACCGCGCACCAGCGCCCCAGCAGCGGCGCGCCTTCATCCCCGCACCTGTGAGGAGCAGGGAAAGACAGCGGGAGAGGGGATGCAAACTGCAGTCAGCAACGAGGGTGTAGGATGCCACCGACCGCCCTGAGAGCGCAGGGCCAAGGTGGAAAATCAGCTGTTTTACAGGCCACAGATGGAAATTACATTGCAAGGGCCCAGCTTTGCTTTTCGGAAGAACTAAAGAAAAGCTCATCAGGTAACTGGACTGAGCTGCCTCTGGGTGCAGCATGGACTCACCTGAGCGTGAGGAGCAGGCTGGCTGCACACAGGGCCTGGAACAGGAGGTCTGGGCCAGGGTCCTCAGTTTCTATCATGAGGAGCAGGGTTTCCACACAAGCTGACGAGGAACCCTGGAGCTTACAGGAAGCATCCTGGGACCAAGATGTGGTATTTCTGCAAAGATGCACCAAAGCCTCAAGGTATGATTTCAGGAACTCTTTGTTCCTTCTGTCTTGCAGCACTGACTGTAAATTCTCCTGGTGAATAGTGGGAAAGAAGGTAGACAGTTAGTTCCCTGGGAATCTGGGGTCCTTACAGCCTTCAGAGATGCTGTAGAAATGCTGCACGTGAACCCAAGCAACACAGAGCGGATGCTCTGGACCTGGTACATTCTCCTGGAAGGCAGATAAGGGGAGAAAGAAGCACTGGGGAAATGTGGGAAATTCTTAACGAGCATCCAGGTCAACAGCTGGGGGTGTCACCCCATCTACAGAGGAGCCATCAGCCCATGAACCCCSAGGTTGGCTTTGTGGCTCTGGGGCCTTGTCTTACCAGCAGCGTTAGCCGGAGGGCCTTCTCCAAGGTCTCGCACTTCTCTCCCTCCCCTTTGAGCACCCATCCCAGGATGGCGAACTGCACGTCGGGATTGGGCTCCCAGAGGAGCGAGCAGACGGTGCCGATTCCCTCCTCATCCGCCAGCCGGGCGGCCTCGCTGCACAGGAAGCAGGCGATGGTTCGGTGCAGGACGGCGGAGCCCACCTGGGAGAAAACGGTGCTCTGCCCGGCCCTGCCTCGCGGGCACCGGTGCCCAGCGGGACACKCTGTCCTGGGCATGGGCCATACTGAACCCGCTGTCCCATGCCCCATGCTAGCTGTACGTGGTGACACAGATGGGATTTCCTCACTGTTTAGCCAGGGCAATAGGGACTGGCCACCAGCTGAGTAACTCCAGGGGAGACTTTGGAAGCCCTGGGAATGTCTATCCCGGGAGAGCCAGGAGCCCTGCCTGTCCCCCGCATCCCGCGAGCAGCAGCAGTACCTGGAGCTCGGCGGCGCTCCCGTGCGGCTCGCGGCCCCGCAGCTCGGCGGCCAGGGCGCTGCGGATGTGCGCGGCGAAGCCGGGGCTGCAGGAGGCGGCGAGCGGGCCGAGCACGCGCAGGAAGGTGGCGCGCAGGAGCGGGCAGCGCTGCGCGGGGCTCAGCAGCCAGGCCCGCGCCTCGAGGCGCCGCGCCACGGCGCGTAGCTCCGCCGCCCTGCGGGCAAGGAAGCGCCTTGGCCGTGCGGCACCGCGGCACGCGCCCTGCGGCTGGAAGCGCGCGGGGATGCACTCACCCGTCGGTGCCGGCGGGGCCCAGCAGGGCCTGCATGAGGAGCAGCTGCCCGTGCGCGGCGTTGTGCGAGCGCAGGCGGCCGGGCGCCGGGAGCTGCCGGGCCAGCTGCAGCAGCAGGCGGCGGCGCCGCGCCGGCGGCACCAGGGCGCCCAGCGCCCGGGCGGCCATGGCGCGCACGGCGTACAGCGGGCTGCCCGCCAGCCCCAGCAGCACCGCCACGAAGGGAGCGCAGGAGCTGCGGAGCGAGAGCGGGACGCGCGTGGGCTGCGAGCAGGAGGGGACACCCCCCGGCCCCGCAGCACTGCGGGCTGGAGCCACCCCCTGCCTGGCTGACCCGGTACCTGTCGGCATCGTCGGCGCCGGGCTGGAGCTGGGCCAGGAGCGTGAGGACGGGGTGCAGCGTGGGGTGCAGCGGGGACCCCCCCGGGGCCGGCTGCCCGGCCGCCCCCAGCTCGTGCAGCAGCAGGGCGCCCAGTGGCGGGTGCTGCGCGAGGAAGGCCGGCAGGCTCATGCCGTCCGTGGGGCCGCCCTCCCCGCGGCTCTGCTTCTGCCCCACCAGCCGGGTYGTGAGGGCACCTGCGGACAACACCTGAGAGTGTCCAGCCACTGGGTGTTGTCCCACATCCTGTCCCAGTGGCTGTTCTGCACTGGGACCCGCGGGTGCCCGGGGGTGGCCCGGGCCGGTACTCACTGAAGAGCTGGATGGCGGCGTTCCTCATGGCCCAGCTCGGGGAGCCCAGGCCCTGCAGCGCCAGGGCCATCAAGGGCGCCGCGTAGGGCAGCAGCGCGCTGCCCAGCCCGGCGCCGCGCAGCAGCGTCTGCAGCACGTGCAGGGCGCACACCTGCGGGCACAGCGGCGCGCTCAGCGCACAGCAAAGCCACGAGGAGCTCCACGAGGAGCTGCAGGGGACCGGCACCTCGTCCCCACGGCGGCGGCAGCAGCCATGGGGCCCGCGCCATCCTCACCTGCGGGAGGTCGAGGGTCTGGTCCCAGTCCTGCGGCAGGGCGGTGCTGGCCAAGGCCAGCAGGCTCTGGATGCAACGGGTCAGCAGCGGGCGGCCCCGGGCCGAGTCCTCCCCGCTGGCGATGCAGAGGAAGAGCATGGGGAAGCCGGCGGCGCGGCGCGTCACAGAGCTGCTCCGGGGCCCGCTCAGCATCTCTAGCCCCTGGAAAATGATCCATGGAAAAGATGTGGCTGGAAACCTGCCAGCCTAGGAGCCTGCGGCTGCTCCAGAGAGGACAGGGGGCCGCGTTGGTGCTGCCATCACGGCTGCCAGGCTGGTGCCCACAGCAGGACAGGGGGGCACAGGGCAGCGCTGGGGACTCCCAGGGACGGGAGGAGAGGCAGAGGAGGGAGGAGGGCCGCACCTGGTCCAGCATGGCCTGCGGGATGGCCTGCAGCTCCGCGTCGCCGTGGTGCAGCAAGGCGGTGCAGAACTTGGTGAAGCCCACGCTGCAGCCCTCCACTGCGCCCTGCGGCAGAGCGGCGCTCAGGGCCCCGGCGCCGCTGCCCGCCGGCCCCCGGGAAGCCCCTCTTGGCAGAGSGGAAGAGGGGCTCAGCGGGGCTGCGGCGGGGCTGAGCCCACCCCGGGCAGGACAGGTCCTTACCCAGTGCCGGCACCGCAGCAGGATTTCCTGGAAGACCTTGGCCGCCGTCTGCAGGGTGGCAAGCGGCAGCAGGCGCGCAGGGCCGGCGGGCTCTGGGGACAGCAGCAGCTCCACCAGGCCTCCCAAAAGCAGCCCGACTTCCTGAGAGGAACCCGAAGGTTGGGAAAAGCCGGTGCCGCTGGAACGATCCCCGCCCCAGGCTATGCGCACGGATGGTGGGTGGCAGGTTCCACTGGTGCCTGACAGGCTCCTCAGGCAGCAGAACCGACCGTGGCTGGTGGGAAACAACCACCGAAGCTGCCASCATCAGGCCTTCCTGCCTGCACACCCGGGATGGAGGTTTCATACCCAGCCTGGCCCTGCACGRGGTGACCCTGAGTGAAAGCTGCATTGAAAGGGGCCAAGGACCGGTCTGACCTCGTGGATTGACRGTTCATCTCTGCAGCCCCTCAGAAGTCAGGGACATTTGCAGCTGGGATGGCAAGAGCAGAGCTCCAGTAGAGCAGGGAGGACCAGCCTGCGTGGTCATTGCTTGCTCTTGGACATGGCTTGGACTCCTGCTCAGTTGTGGCCATGTGAAGCTCAGAGGATACCAGACCTTTCCAGCCTTCCCAAGTGACCAGGCAGGCACCCACAGCCCTCAGCAAAAGCCACTGCAGCCCCTGTGCTCTGCTAATGCAGGGGCTCAGACGGTCTCCAGTGACAAGACTACACTGGTGGCAGGAGGGCTGCCCTGGATTTCCATCCTGCCCCATGTCACAGGGAAGCACGGCATGTCCCTGGCCAGCTGCAAGGGGGTGGCACAAGGAGCTGGCAGAGGAGAGGCCACGGCAGGCAGAGCACACAGCTGGAGTCTATTGGCGGCCAGGAAACCAGCTGTGCTTCATAAGGGGAGAGCAGGAGACAGGAGCTCCTGGCAGGTGAGTGGAGAGGCTGCTGGAGCTGCTCTGTGTGCAGCCTTGAGGTATTGGATGGGGTTTCCCCCTTGCTCATCCTGGGCAGAAGGGTTGGGAATGCTCCTGGGAAGCTGGCCCTGTTGCTGGTGGGGGCCTGCCTGGTTTTGCTGGTGGGGAACCTGCCTCCTACCAGGCCCTGTGTGCTTGTACCTTCACTGACACCCAGCAACAGGTCAGGATCAGGTTGTGCTCCTCCGACAGCAGGATCGAGTCGTCCTCCTGCTGCCTCTGGCCCTTCCCCAGCATGATGAGGGAGCCGATGGCGTTCCCCATGTCTGCGAACGACGGGGCARTGGCTGCAAAAGAGAAACCCGGTGCGATGGGCACTGTGCTGCTGAGCTGGGCTGGCAGAGCCTGCCCTGGTGCTGGGTAGGTGGCTGGGTCCCCTTTGGGGACACACTCACCTTGCTGGTCAGCGCTGGGGCCCTGCCCACTCTGCAGGGCACCCARGAGGAAGGAGGTGATGTCTCTTGCTGTGGCCACCAGGCTGGTGAGGAGCTTTTGCCAGCTCTGCACCCACTCTGCCGCCCGCATGGAGACGGCCACCTCGGGCACCTGCAGCAGGCACCTGCGCAGGGCTGCGATCGCTCCTGGCAAACACGGCGCTCCGGTTACAGCAGCAAGCCCAGCTCACCCACCCTGGCACCCCTTGCTTTAGGTGGCTCACCAAAAGCCACTCGGCTGGCGGACGTACCATGCATTGGCTTGGTGGCTGCTGCCTGCAGCAAGTCCTGGCGCGCCGCGGCCAGCTGGGCCTGCAGCTCATGCAGAAGGTGCCGAGCAAAGCACAGCCCCGGGGGCTGCGCTGCCAGGGCTGCTCCAGCCTCCAGGGACAGGCTCCTGATGAGGCTGCTGTCTGACCTGAAGGAAGAGGTGAACGCTGGCACGGGGGAGCTTCCTGCTGGATGTGTGCTGGGATGAGCCTTCCTCCCACGGCTTGGGGCCTGCACCCGGCCCTAGGCAACACCACCACTGGCCATCGCTGCTAAAGGCTGTTTTAAACCCAAACCACTGCTGGCTGCAGTCAGCCCATGCCCCAGGGCGGGGACCCACAAGGTCCTACTTCTGCAGAATCGTCTTCATCAGCAGAGCTCCAGCTTCAGCCTCCTGAACCCGGGGGCTGCTCAGGGCTTYCTGGGCCAGCTGGAACAGAGCCTGGGCCACAGGCTCAGGGAAAGGTGATGGAAAGTAGCGGATGAGCAGCTCTGAAGCCAAATCTCTGATCTGCCAAGACAGCAGAGCGTAACGGGGAACATCAGCTTGAGCAGAGGTAAGTGCCAGCAGGGAGCACAGGCACTGGAGAGATTCTCTAGGTGCTCTGTGCTCCCTGCTGCCCGTGCCCAGCGGGGCTGGGGTGCGCGGGGCCCACGGTGCTCACCTCGCTGGTGCTGTCCTGCAGGCAGCTCAGCAGCGCCAGCAGGTTGGGCTGCGAGAAGAAGTCCCAGCAGCCCTGGTGCCTGGCGTAGCTCAGCAGYGCGGCCATGGTCTCTGCGGGGACACGGTTTGGAGGCAGCCCGGGAAGCGGCCAGGCAGCCACACCAGGCCCGCGGCCCCTGCTCACGTGGAGGCTGCCCCTTCTTCCGCTCGGGCCTCCAGGTGTCTGTGCAGGTCTCCAAAACCGCTGACAGGAGGAGCAGGCCTGTCTTCTTCCTCTGGTAATTGGAGCCCGGGGAGAGCGAGGAAATGCTGAGCTGCAGCAGCCACTCCACGAAGTCTGTGGGGARAGGGCACGGAAGGACTGTGTGACAGAGCCAGCGCACACGTGCAAAGCCACTGCCCTTGGTGGAGGTGCCGGACAGGTTTCTCACCGACTGCCTGGGTGAGCTGCCCCTCTCCGTCATCCGTCTCAGCTCCGTCGCCCGTCCTGGTGCCCTTGGGTGTCCTCCCTCGCAGGCGGGCCAGCGAGCTGTCCCGCATCCGCACGAGCGCCTTCCTCAGCGCCGCCTGCAGCAGCTGCCGGAAGGCTGAGGAGTCGCTGTTGAGGTTGAGGGGCAGGAACTCGCGCAGCAGCCGGACCTCGGCGCCCGCCAGTGCGCGGCTGGTGCTGGGGCTGCAGCAGAGGAGCCCGAGCGCYGCGAGCCGCACGCCCTCCTCGCCGGCGTGCAGGCAGCGCCGCAGCCGCTCCCGTTGCTCGCCCTCCACCGCCAGCGTCCCCGCGAGGCTCTTCTGTGCCCTGAGCAGCGCCACCCATGCGCGCAGCGCGGCCTCGTCCTGCCCGCCGAACTCCGTGGCCAGGGCCGCGTAGGCGGCCGGGAGGAGGCGCAGCGTCCAGGGCAGGAGGTGGTTGGCAGCGTTGCTCTGCAGGATGGGCACCGGCGAGCGGAGCGCCCGCGACAGCAGCGGCAGCCAGCGCAGCGCCCAGCGCTCGGCCAGAGCCTCCTCGGCGCGCTGCTCGGCGAGCAGCCCCTCGGCACGCTGCTGCTGCACCATGGCCTTGTAGACCTCGCTGGCGGCTGGGCACAGGTGGTTGGTGGCGAGGCAGCTCAGGAGGTGCTGCGGCAGGTCCCCGTAGGCGTCCAGGACCTGGGAGAAAAGCCAGATGAGCGCTGTAAGGGACACTTGACACGTGACTGATGTGCAGCTGCCTCTTGTCTTGCACCTGGGATGTGCTGATGTGCAGCTGCCTCTTGTCTTGCACCTGGGATACATCTCAGCAACACGCGGTGCTTTCTGGCTGCACCAAACTGCTGGTATCCCAAGAGCCCGGGAAAATGCTCCTGGGAGCAGTAAGCTGGAGCACGTCAGTGCTGAGAGCAGCTGGCTGGAGGCTGTCAGCAGAGAGGACCCTGCAGGCCTGRGGACGCAGCTTGGAGCTATGGGGTCCCATCTATGAGCGTGCCAGCAGTACATGCCCTGGCACCTCCAGCTAGTGTCCCACCCATGGCTCAAGCTGTTGGATGCTGCTACCCGTGAGTACAGGCACCAGCCCTCCCTGATGCACCAACTCCTGCYGCTCCAAGCGGACTCTCCTGCCCAGGCTTCCCTACCTGCTCACTGCCCACGTAGGGGATGATGGCGCACAGAGGTACGTATCTGCCTTTGACTTGCCACGGCATTGAGATGACCCTCTTCAGCATCTGCCTGTAGAGGGGCCGCTCCTGGTCCTCAAAGTGCCTGCACTCGAAACAGTAGATTTCCAGGAGCAGCCGAAAGGAGCTGTGGATAAACTCAGACACCCCTTCCACCTGGCAGAGGGAAGGACAGACACTGAGTGAGGTTAGAGCTTGTCCCCTCTCCTGTCTTGGTGCCTGGAGACAAGTCAGGCTGAACCCAATGTGTGACCATGAGCTGTTTCTCATTAGAGGAGCACTGGGGTTTGACCTGAGCTGAGCTTACTGGGGTCTCAGCGTTGTTCCACAGCAGCTGCATGAGCTGGTTGAAGAGATCAGAGTCCTCAGCCAGGATGCGGGTCTCCTTCAAGCACCAAAGCCTGGGCAGGCTTTCCTGGATGCGTTGTAGCCAGAGGGAGAAAACTGGAAGCAGAGAATGGCCTAATGAAGTGGGGAGCCTGAGAACCCATGTGCAGCACGGCCYGGTGTGGGTCACTTGGGGGGCCTTAGGGAACCAGCACACAAGGTGGGCACTTCTGCACATCAGCCCATGCAGATACACAGAAGTAGCTGTGCATAGAGTTAAATGGGCTGCAGCAGATGTTAATAGCAGTTTCCACATCAGCCACCTGGTTTTGGAAGAGAATTTTCCCCCTGAAGAGATCAAATGCTCTGGCCGCTCTGGGGTGGCTGTCGTGCTGCAGTTTAGAGGACAGGGAATCCTCTAAACTCCCCTGTTTTACTGTGGGGCGGTTGCAGTCTCTTACCTTGGAAGCAGTAGTAGTGGCAGTCCCTCTGCTCTTTGCTGAGGGCACACACAGCAGGAAAGAGCACATCCAGCAGCAAGCAAGCCTGCGGGAAMATGGCCATGTTAGGGGACAGGCAGAGGGGGGCTATCCAGGGCAAGAAAAGTGCTCCACAAGACGGGGAGCTCCACAAGAGCTCTACTTACAAGCTTGAAGCTTTTAAGTTACATAGCTTGTAGCTCTRTGTGGAGGCTGAGTACTCCTACCTGGTGGGTGAAGCCCTCCAGCTGGCAGCTGAGGATGTCTGTCCTGCAGCAGGTGAGCAAACCTCGGGCCAGCACCAGCCTCTCCAGCCCATCTGGCTCTGGAACAGACGTGGCCTCTACCACCAGCTCCCCAAACCTCAGCTCTCCCATGCCTGGGTGGAAACAGCTGTGTTAGATGGGAGAAAGACTTGTACCAAGCTAACACCTATCCAAGAACAAACTCCCCTAGCTCGTCTGGCTAATCTGAGAGCTGCTGCTGGACAAGGCTGGGGGCAGTAGGGTCTCCAGGGTGCAGAGAGCAGGATGCTGCAGTGCAGCGTCCTGTGCTGCAGCATTGAGGGTGACAGAGCAGGCTGGCAAGGGAGGTTGTGGAGTCTCCTTTTCCGGAGGTCTTCAAAACCCTCCTGGATGCCACCCTGTGCCCCGTGCTCTAGGTGTCGCAGATGGAGCATGAAGGTTGGACTRGATGATCTCTAGATGATCTGAACTATTCTGTGAGTCTGGTTTGGGCCTCTGTCCCCTCTCGCCCCGCTGTGCCCTGGGCAGGAAGGGACTCGCACCTTCATGGGCGAGCTGGAGGAGCGCGCGCGCGGCGCGGGCCCCGCTCGTGGCCTGCGGCGCCGTGTTCACCAGCATGCTCAGCACGGTGCCCGCCAGCAGCCGCGTGTCCTTGTTCGGGACCTGCACGCACAGCGGAGGCGAAGTTACGGTGGAAAAACCATTTAGGAAACAAAGCCCCATGAGCCCCGCTTCTCTCCCGTGAGCCCCACTTCTCTCTGTGCTCACGTAGCACAGAGGCAGCGACACAGGGGCCCTGGGGACTCTTTCTGCAGTGACCTCCTTGTGTAGCTGCCGTTTGGGGAGGGTGTCAGCGCTGCTTCCTAGGCCAGGTGCTGCTGCCCCACGGCGCCCCAGGCAGGCAGCTGCYGGGCTTGTACAGACCTTGCCCATGACGACCTGCAGCAGCAGTCCCAAAACGCCCTGCAGCGCCTCGCTCCTCTCCTCCTCGTTCCACACCAGGGGGGCCACATCCTTGGGAAGCACCTGGAAGAGCTGGAGACAGGCCTGGAGCAGAAGGGAGTGCAGGGATGGTGTGAAACAGCCCTCACCCCCCGCGAATGCCCACGCTGCTCCTCACGGGTCCTCGGGGACAGGGCTGCCATTCGAAGCGGATATGCTGGGTCCATGGGCAGCGGGTCCCAGCTGCTCCTGTGCCTGCAGGGCACGCATCCTCCCCGCTCCCTGAACCCCAGCACTTGCCTTGACAGCCGCGTAGCCCCAGGGTCCAGCGCTGGCTGGGGGGCTCCGCAGCACCCAGGCCAAGGTCACAGCCAGGCGCTGCAGCAGTGGGGCCAGGTTCTGCCGCCAGTGGAGCCGTCCCAGGCTGCTCTCCTCCATGAACATGCACACTGCGGGCAAGGGCACGGCTCGTTCCCTGCCCTGCTCGCTGTCAAACGGGGCAGCTGTGGAGCTCAGGCTGCTTTTGCTTGTTTCGTTTTGAACTGCCCCGGGTAAGCGGGCAGCGCTGTTGGATGCTCTGCTGGGGACCTCCCCAGTGAGCTGGTGGCCATCTATGGTCCCTGCTCTGCCTCCTCTGAGCAYGGAGGACTGGCACTCAGTGTCCCCACATGTGGTGGCGGGGCCTACGGGCACCGTGGGTTTCCTGGGGCAGCAGGACAGACTGACCTGACTGCAGGTCTTCTGCGGACAGCACCTGTGAGGCAGAAGGAGAGACGTGCTGGATGCTTGGCATGGCCACGGCAGCAGGGACGCTCTGTACGCAGCGCTGGTGTGCTGGGGAGAACGGCCTCGGAGCGAGGCTCCGGCCGCGGCTCCCAGCTCCCCGGCAGTGGGGCTCCATTTGGATCCTCATCCCCGTGCTGACGCCGCTCCCACCGAGGGCTGCGGCTGCCACCAGCCCAAGCCCCGCTCCCGCAATCCCCGCAATCCCCGAGCACACGGCGGCCGTGACACCGCCAGGGCCGCGGCTCTCACCTCGTGTCCCACGAGGCCATCCAGCAGCTCGGCGACCTCCCGGGCCAGCAGCGCCTCGCGCCCCGCCGCCAGCGTGGTCACCACCTGGGGGGACACGAACCGCGGCGTGCCCGGGGAGCAGCCACCACGCGGCGGCCCCGTGCAGCTTTCCCCGGGGCAGCGGCACCATCGCCGCGAGGCGCCCGGCGGCACCGGCCACCGACCTGCTCGAGCTTCTGGAAGCAGCCGGAGCTGCCGGCGGCCTCCGCCTGGAAAGCCAGGACGCAGCGGAGCAGGGGCCGCGCGGCCGCCTCACCCAGCGCCCACAGCGCCTCGCGGGCCGCCCGCGAGTGCCGCAGAGCCTCCTCCAGGCTCTCCTCGCGGCCCCTCTTGGCCGCGCTCCTGCAAGAGGCGATGGTGGTGGGGCCGGCGTGGCGGCCGGGAGCCCCGCGGCGGCCCGGAGCCCCGCAGCAGCCTGGAGCCCCGCGGCGCCGCCGCACCCCCGTACCCCGCGAAGCGCCGCAGGCTCCGCACGCAGGCCAGCGCTGCGGCGCAGGGCGCGCGCGGCCCGTAGAAGGCGGCGCAGGCCTGCGCCTCCCGCTCGGCGCCCATGGCTCCTCCGCCGCCCATAGAGTCCAGGAGCGCGCGGCAAACTCAGCAGCCCCATCTAGTGCTGCCGGAGCCTGGCGGGCTGCCCCGCGCCGCCACCGCCAACCAGCCCCCCTGCAGCCTCCCCGGCCACTGTTTTTCCTCCCGGCCTGGCTCCCCAGAGGTGCTGGGGTTGGGGTTGTCTTCTCCGTGCAGCCCTGGGGTCCCTGTGCAGCCCTGGCAGCTCCTGGTGTCACCAGGGATGCGATCATGTCCCAGTCTGGTGCTGCTGCCCCATGTCCTGGCGAGTGATGCCTTTGGGACAGGCTGCCTGCGCTTCCAGCCACATTGACCATCCACATCCACCTCCCTTCTGTTTTAGAAATAACCTGGGAGAACAAATCTGGCTGGCACTGCCCTCAGTGCTCCCCTTGCATGTAGCAAAACGCCCCTGGATTCGCAAAGTGTGAGGACGTTTGCGTTTCCACAATTGCTTGTCCACTACCCCAAGCATCACGGCCACTTTGTGCCTGTACAGGAGGGACTCCGGGGAGCTCCAGGCTTTCATGCAGCCTCCTTGGGCCTCCATGTGCACGTGTCCCCGTGGTCCCTCCGACCCTCCATTCGGCTTCTCCCAGCCTCCTCGTGTCGAGGACCCCAGCAGCCCTCYAGACTTTCCTTCAGCCTCCCTGGGCCTTCATGCACACGGCGGGGAAGGGGAGGCAGAGGGGCATTTTCTCCAGTTTCACCACTGGAAGGATTTTCAAACCCTGTAAATTCACTTTTGACAGGCAAACAGCTAAAGCAGATTAACTTTTTTGCTAATCCTCTATAATGGCTTTGGAATCTCCTTAACCAATAAGAAAATTATAAGAGCCTGTTTCGTTCTTTTTTATCTATATCTATATTGTCCTCCCTTGTCTGCATTTTTTCTTTCTTGTTTTATTTTCCTTTTCTTTTCTAATATGAAATAGCCCAGCGATCCTATCTCTGAAGGCTCAGTAAACAGAACATCAATAATCCCCTCCCTTTATTCCTCGCTGGTAACAGGGTGCAGAGAAGTGTCTGCCGATTGGGATTTGATTACCAGCAGCTATCAAAAGTCTCTTTGTAAGATCTGGGTCCTAAATYCTGTAATTCTTTGATAAAAGAAGTATTACCAGTCCATTTTCTGAAGTGAAAGGTATGGGACAAATGAAAGAAAGCAATCAGCAGAGATACTAATAGGCTAAGTGCATGTGCAGCGCGCAGGCAGRGGAAGCAGGGAAAAGCTTTTGTTATGGATGGGGAATGAGAATTAATCCGCTTGGAGCGTGCGGTTATCGCAGCTGGGAGCAGAGAGGGTCGGATCCTGCTTGTCCACAGCCCGTCTGGTCCCAGCCTGGCCACCTGGACCTGCCCAGTGCGTGGGAGAGCGGAGCCAGGGCCACATCTGTCCCCTGCCTCCCTGTTGGGACATCTCYATGGAAGCCAGGCAGCAACGTGCAAGGATCAGCAGTGCTAACTCAGTCCTCTGGTGCTAACCTGGTTCTSTAGGGCCACTCATGTGTCAGCAAGGTAGCAATGAACAGACCACGAGGCATTTTTCCTTAAGTCGGCAGCAGTTATTTACAGATTTATGGAATGTAATTATAAAATACATTGGAAAATCAGAATAGCTGGAGGAGATAGGAGACAGGAGATAGGAGCAGCGCTTTCTCTCGCAGCCCGTGGTGTTTTCCTCCAGCACTAGGGCTGGCTCCAAGGCCACGTTCCCGTGTGGGTTCCTGCCGAGCCTTGCTGTTGCCGTCCACGCAGAGGCCCCGCTCATCCCCTTCCCTTGCAAACCCTGCTGTGGCTGCGAGCAGGGCTGCAGCTGATCCCATCCCCTTGTGGGTGGCAGTGCAGGCAGCGAGACACCACTAATCTATGTTACAGAGGTGCTTTGAGCTGCCACTAATCTAATTTGTTAAGGGCCTTGAATCCTTACAAAGCGTATGTTAGACACATGCAAAGCATCTGTAGTATTATTGTGATTACAGCAGTGGAGGTGCGGTAAAAGGGAAGGAGGGAAAACATGATTTCTGTGCTCAAAGCAGAAAATAAATCAACTTTCACAGAGAGTTCTGGTGCAGCCAAAGGCTATGCTAGCATTAAAAATGATTTTTTATTAAGCTGAACTCTCCTTCTCTCTCATATTGTATGATATGACAGGTCTCTTTTGAAGGGAAAGCTTTCTTTTGGACAGAGGAAGGGATAATTTGCAGCTTTTAAGGAGTTAATCCTCCGGTGCATTTCCAGGCTGGGAACAGCTATCCTCCCCCTTCCTTGCACTGGAGGCTCCAGCACAATGGAGATCATAACCACCCCAGACCTATGCCTGAGATGGAGAAATCAGATTTCCTTCTTGAGTCATTTTTGTGGGATTAGCTAAATCTTAGATCCACACTAACCCTTCACAAAGCTGCCAAGATTAGTTAGAATTTATTTTATTCACAGAGGGGTTTATGGTTTTCTGTCCAAAGGGATTATATCTCTCTCTATATATATATTTAGGATGGCTTCAGTCATAAAGCAGCTAGGTTAGAATGAAAAAAAAAAAAAAAGTGTGTGTGAGGGTGTGTATAAAATAGAAACTCAGGTGCAGGAATGACAGTCACTTCAAGCCCCAAGGCAAACGGGTGATTCCGGGCGGCTTCAATGATCTGCCTTAAAAGCTACCTGAGTGTAAGGGGTCTTTTTCTCTGTAAGACCCCGCTCTACTGGTGACTCCTGGAGAGCTTCCCTGGAGCAACATTCCAGGATGTCTTCGGAGCCAGTGCCCGGCGCTGAAAGCAGCAGGAGAGGCCCGAAGCAGCCGTGCTCGTTCAGCATCGAGAACATCCTCTCCAGCCCGGCAGGGAGAAGCCCCCCGCTCCTGGTGCCCTTGTGCCTCCAGGGGCTCCTGGACTGTGCCCCCGGGCGGCTGTGYGAGCTCGAGGGGGTCGCAGCCGGCCCCCTGCGCGAGGAGGATGAYGAGGAGGAAGAGCTGGAAGCTGCAGGTTGCGGCTGCTGCTGCTGTTCGCACGTGAGCGCCCGTTCCCTGCAGGACTCGCCGAGCTGGCTGGGTGAGTGTTGGGCTGCGATGGCTGCAGGGGCTTGGGGAAGGGGCCTCACAGTGGTGCCCRCGCTGGGCAGCGGGAAAGGCTGGGCTTAGAGTCTCCTTTCTGGCCTGCCACGGTGCCACGGTGGCGTTTTTAGAGCCTGGCTCTGGCAAGAGGCAGCTGGACCCGTTCTCAGCACCACCTCTAAGATCAGGTTTGGAAACTGCAGGTGGTATTTGCTGCYGGGCACTGCTGTGTTACTGCTCGGGGCTTAAAGGTGATGGTGCTCCCAGGAGCGGAAGGGCTCTGTGCAGCGCGTCCTGCTCGGGCTGCCAAGGCACCAGCCCTGGGGAACCCCACTGGGCATTAGATGGACAGACTTTTTGTTTGTATCTACCAGAAAAACAAAAACAAACAAACATAAACTCACAATGTGGTTTTACCTTAAAACCTTAAAATGTCTTCAAGGCTCAAAAAACCCTTAAAGCCTGAAGGCTCAAAGATCCCCCATTTCATTACTAAAAGGCATCTCTTCCCCTCTCACCTGGGCTGTGTGTTTCCAGTGACTTTTTGGAGCTGGTCATACTGCAGCTGGTAAGCGAACAGGGAAAAGGCAGCCCGCACCCTTCTCCCCAGGTGATGCCCTGAGCCCCCCTCGCTGCCCTCACGATCCAGCACCTCCTTCCGAGCCCCCCGCGCGGCCCCCGCGTGAGCAGGATCTTTATTGCAGCCCTCGGTCTCCCGGTGGCGCTGACCGTGGCTCCCCTCCCGCAGCCGCCCGGCTGCCCTGGCCCGTGCGGCTGCTGCGCTCCGCGGCCGGCGCCGGCACGAGGCCGCGGGGCGGCCCGGGCGAGCGGCAGGGCTTGCAGCAGGCGCAGCGGCGCACGCGGCGCCATCGCACCATCTTCACCGAGGAGCAGCTGCGGGCCCTGGAGACGCTTTTCCACCAGAACCAGTACCCAGACGTCATCACCAGGGAGCACCTCGCAAACCGCATTCACTTGAAGGAGGAGAGGGTAGAGGTGAGATCCTGCCCTTCGGTGAGGTGCCACCAGGAGTATTTCCCCATTCCGTTGGCTACAAAGCATCCCGAGAAGCCAGTCCCAAGCATTAGCCTATCTTTTTTTTTTTTTTTCCCCCCCCCCCAGGGCTTAATTTAAAAAACAAAACAAAAAACACTCTTAGGTTTTTGAGAAAACACAGCTTAGGTTTGGCACATAATGGAAGAGTAGAAAACAGTTCTGCTGCTGGTTGATTTTGGCAGCCTGGCGCCATAAATATTCCCATAGATACACCTATATAAATACACACACACACACAAGCGGGCACCTAATTCTGCTGACACTCTGCACCCAGGTCTGTTCCATCCTTCTGTGGCCTGCAGGATTTTGGTGTTTGCTGTGGGGATCCCAGCTCCCTCACGTCCCTCGTGTGTCTGAGCAGGACTGTGTCAAACAGACTGTGCAGGGGGGTTTATCCTGGGAAATGCATGGCAGTATCCCAAAGCTTAGTGCCACACTGTAAGCTCCAGGAATGCAACTGCCTGACGGCTGGCACCAAACGAAGTGCAGAATTCCACGTTTCTTCTTTTTGGCCTTTCAGGTTTGGTTTAAAAATCGCCGGGCCAAGTGGCGGCATCAGAAGAGGGYGACAGCTTCAGCTCTGCTCCTCCAAGGCCCCATGCAGTCCCCAGAGGAGAGCTGCTAGCGGGAGAGCCGCGGCATGGGAACCCCGGGAATCGCTGGCCCTTGGGCAGCCCTTCCGCAGGGGCAAAGCGACGGCGCCAACGGGAACCTCTGTTGCCCTGCGAGGGGAGCGCGGGTAGCAGCGGGCAGCGCATTTCAAGTCTTAGTCCTTCCATGTGACAAATAAATTAGAAGCCGTCACGCTGAGGCGCTTGAGCCGCGGCCGCTGCCCCAGGCGAGCGGCGGTTTCCAGTGTGTGCAAACCCCGCGGTTTCCAGTGTGTGCAAACCCCGCGGTTTCCAGTGTGTGCAAACCCAGCGGTTTCCAGTGTGTGCAAACCCGGAGGCCCCTCCAGCCGCTGTGCTCTGGGCATGGCCCATTTGTGCCCGTTCTGCTACTGCAGATATAAAAAACACCTTGCAAGCGACTGTGCGGTCTGTGGCACGCGAGGTGCCGCGGGTCCACGCGGCTGCTGCTGTTTTCCCTGGCAAACACACAGGGATTTCCGCGGGTGCAGCCACGGACTCCGCTCGCCCAGACACCACCCCGATGTAAACAGGGCCGCGCTGCGCAGCCGGGCAGCCTCCCGAGCGCCAGGGCCGCCCCACGGGACCCGACCACAGCGGGACCCGGGGCCCCGCTCCGGGGGGGCCCGCTCCGGGGAGGCCCCGCTCCGGGGGGGCCCCGCTCCGGGGGGACCCCGCTCCGGGGGGCCCCGCTCCGGGGAGGCCCCGCTCCGGGGGGGACCCGCTCCGGGGGGGCCCCTCGGGCCCGAGGCGGCCCCTCCGGGTAGGCCGCGCCGTTGCCATGGGAACCGGGGCGCTCAGCCGCGCACGCACCTCTCTATGATCCCCCGCCCGCGCGCGGGGGGGGGGAGAGTTGCGCGCGCCCTTTCCTCCCCCGCCTCTCTCTTACGTCACGGCGCGTCGCGTCGGCGACGGCGGCCGAGGAGGGGCGGGCGGTTGGCGGCGCCATGGAGGGGACGGCGGCGGCGGCCCGCGCGCTGGTGCCTGCGGCGCCCGGGGCCGCCGCGATGGGGCCGGTGCCGGCGGCGGCGGCGCGGGCGGCCGCGAAGCGCCCCAAGAAGATCCTGGACGAGGAGGCCTACATCGAGGTGAGGCGCGCGGCGCCGCGGGGCCCGCGGGGCCCGCCCGGCCCAGCGCGGCGCTCACGGCCCGGCCGCCCCGCGCGTCTCCCCGCAGGGCCTGGAGAGCATCATCCAGCGGGACTTCTTCCCCGACGTGCAGAAGCTGCGCGCGCAGAAGGAGTACCTGGAGGCGGAGGAGAGCGGCGACCTGGAGAAGATGCGGCAGATCGCCATCAAGTTCGGCTCCTCGCTGGGCAGGCCGGCCCGCGACACGCCCGCGCCCTGTAGGCACCGGCCCGCGTCGCCTTCCGCCTCCCGGGCCCCGGGATGGGCATTTGAAGCGAGCAAACCCCGCGGTTCTGTCGTTTCTGTGGCCAGGGCTATGCGGGGATGGGAAAACCCCGTCTTAACAGATTGGGACCTCRCTTCTTATTTGTTAGAACCTTCTAAAAACATAACGGCTTATGTCTAATGGCATTGTTCCCTTTTATGCGTCTTCATGCAAACTACGACTGTTTTAAAGCATCRAAATTGATACTCCCTGGGGTTTAATATCCCGCATTGGACACTAGCCAGTCTCTGGTCTCTAAGCAGTTTAGTATCTAGTGCTGGACTTTTTTGATAGTGGCTAGTAATTTATTGAGGAAATGATTCTTTAGAGTAACCATTCCTATAGACATACTTTTTCAGTATTGTTCCCAAGATCATGTTACTTGTTATAACTTAAAGTATTTTACTATTTAAAATCCTAGACTGGTTTTGAATCTTTATTATTGTATTAGATATTTTTACTACTTTTCCATGTACTTTTACTGTGCATTCAGAAGTACAATAGTAATATATTGAGGAAGCAATAAGGTGTTGAAAGCTCGTGATTATCAGTGCTTCACAGGGCAAGTGTGGAGTGTACAGTTGCATACTAGCTTTAAGATATTGAAATRTTTCCTGTGCTGAAGCCCAGCACCTAGATATGTTCTTCCTATGGAGTTTAGCTCTCCCATGGCAAGGGCCACGTGTTACCAAGTGCATTCCTTTCCTTCCCTTATAGTGGGTGCTGTCCTGCATTAAGGTTGTTACCTTAATGCCTGCGTTAAGGCTGTTACCACGTTGGTATTGCTGCCTGCTTTTGTTGAGTGAGGCCATAGATAGTATGGCAAATATATAGGAGCTTTACCGTTCTGTGACGTTTTCAGTAGGAGACAAATAGTATCTTAGCTGAAAGTAGATATTGTTCAATGGTTGGAACTGAATTGCATARAGTATTTTGAAGTCTTTTCACTTCTTTCAGCTCTTTAATTCACTAGTTCCTCTTTTCATAACTATCTTCTATGACTTGTTTGCCTCATGACTTTTGCTGTGCTGCAAAATATTATCGCCACTGCCCTGCACTCTGGTAACCACGGGAATCCTTTTCTATTACAGATGTTACTCCAGCCACGTTTGAAACCCCTGAAGTGCATCCACGTCTTCCACTTGCCAATAAATCCAAGGTTGGCTTCAAAGCTGCAGAGGAAGGTAAGGCAATGTGATTTCTCTAGTTGAATTCTTCAGCATCACAGAGATATTGCTATGAGTCCTTTTTTGCCCTTCTGTAATGGTTTGAGGAGTTTAGCAGATGAAAAAGTCATCTTCTTTAGCCTTATAGTAGCAAAAATAAAACACTTGATGTTAGATGTGAGGTAATACTTTACAGCTCTGTGAATTCCCAATTGTGGATCTCTTTATGGCTATATAAATTCTTGACTCAGTTGACTTCTTTGAAGACAGAAGATTCCTCTTGTCACACAAAATTAATTTTGTCAGGAAGCTTCAAACCAGGCACAGAACTATTCATATACTGCTAAAAATGTCTGCTAGCAGCTGGCCATTCTTGCTTTTTTCCTTCAACATGAATAACTATAAATGCCATTAACAGATTTTATGTGAAAATTGGTTATACATCTTCCAAAATAATTTATTACTCTACTATTTTGAGCACACTTTTTTTCYTTTCACAAGCTTCATGTTAATTTTTAGTGGGTCAGTAGAAAGYCCCCTCTCAGAGGGGATTAAGAGCTACGTACAGCTCCTTTCTAGAAAGGGAAGTGTTAATCAGTCTTGGGTTTCTTCCCCCCTGCCCCTTGCTAGGAGAAGCGGAAAAAGATGCTAAAGATGAACTTCCCAGTCTGGACAGCTTCTTAGCAAAACACACGAGTGAAGATAATGCTTCATTTGAGCAGATCATGGAAGTGGCTAAAGAGAAGGAGAAAGTCAAACATGCTTGGCTGTACAGTGCAGAAGAGGAGTATGCCCAGGTAGGAAAAYGACTCTAGCGTATCTCATTTCTTCTGAAATGATACAGAAAGGAATCTGTTTTTTCCRTCTGTAACTCAAAGACAATGTTGACTTTGTCACTGAGGAATGATCTGTCTCTCCCTAGAGTTTATAGCTGTGAAGCACGGCCCTACGCACAAGTGTCAGTGTTCTTGGCAGTCTCTTCCATAAGGGCCAATACAGTGGAGAGCAGCCAAAGAGCCGTTCCTGATGTTTGTCCATCAGCCTTTTGTTATCTGCAGTTTTTTTTTCTCATTTTGTTTTCTATTTCTATTATCAGTAATAGTCTGTTCAGCTGCTAATACAAAGTATTGTACATAATAGGGCTAACTCTGCAGAAGAATTGTCATCTTCATGAGCATTATGTTTTTTATCTCAGCTAATGTAAATCCTTAAAGAATCTGTGGTAATGATATGCCCTCCACGGCCCCTTGTGCATATTCATTGCTGTAATCCAGAGTTAAAAGGTGGACAGCAGGAGAATGTGGGAGCTGTATCAGATCAGGTTACTGAGAGAGAGGAAAGCGAAGCTATTGGAGCTGCTCTTGTGCTCCTGCCCTTTGTCTTTCTGCCAGCCAGCACTCTGTGAGCAGACCTTGTGCTTTCTTGTACAGCATGTCTGTGTATCCATATATTTAGCAGACAAATTTCCTATGCCTCATTTGATGAGTTCAGTGACAATACAGCTTTTAAAAAATATGTAGATATGCACTAAAGACGGTGTCGATTAAAATGTCTTTTATATAGCTCCTGGAAGTATTTGACTAGTTTGATTAGTGCGAGAGCTTTCAAGTGAGGTAACTTTGCAGTGGCTGCCTGCCTTCCACTTGCTTTGTGTTCATGTTGGTGGTACTAGAATGCTGTTAAGAGTGGGTTAATGTGGGTAAGAGTGTGAATGTCAGATGCTTCAGTGGCTGTATTCACTATGGAAATGTTTGAATGCTCCCAAGCTATGGCTTTGTAAGACTGTCGTTATTTTAGATACGAGTAATGTAACCTGCTCTTCCCTTTCTGAGCAATGAAGATGATGATTTACTTTTGATTGGTGGATTGAGCAAAAAGAACCTTGAAACCAATATAAGTGTTACAAGACAAAATGAATAAAATCATAAACTTTTTCTGGGAAGTTAAGCCTTTAGTCTTTGCTTAGTTTTTATGCCAGAACTTCATATAGAGTTCCTGTTTGGAATCTCACTTAGGAAGAGGATGTTTCTAGAATACCTGTTGTCAGAGAGGGAGACTTTTGCCACACGGATGGAAGGTGTAGGGGGACACATAACTGAAGAGGGGACTGAACTGAGCCAGATATGTATACCTGCTTAGAAGAGTGCAGGTTTCYGTTTTAGACATGTTTTTTTTTCTTTATATTCCTTTCAGCGACGAAATAACAACCTGGCACTTCCTTCAGCAGAGCAGCAGGCCCTTGAAAATGTGAAAGCTGGGCTGGAGACGTGGGAGTACACGGCTCGGAATACCCTCATGTACTACCCTACAGGTGGGGTGTGCGGGGCCCTCGGGAGAGCCTGGATTCGGATGGTCTCATTCCAGACAATGCTATTAGTATTTCCACAGATGGCTAAGCAGTTCTTTCTGGTTATGCTGCATTTTATTTTTTCTGATTATAAAGTTCAGATAAGATGTAGTTTTCCACAGCAACTCGTTTAGTAATCCCATCTTCTTTTTGTAAATGTATAATCAATAGTTTCTGTACTTTGCTGCTCCTCAGAAGCCTAGTCTTAATTTGTTCATAGCTTTCAGGTGTTGCACAACATAGATTAGTGCAATTATTATTTAAATTGCTGGAGATAAACAGCTGCACTTGATGCTGGATTCTCACATAAAAATGCATGGCCAAGCTTATGTTCTCTGGGACTTCACTAGGCAATGTGCCGTGGTACCTGAACTTTTAGTTAAAAATCTGTGTGTATCATTCCAGGTGTACCCAATGAGGATGACATATTCAAAAAGCCCAGGGAAGTTGTCCATCGAAACACACGTTTTGTGAAGGACCCTTTTAGTCAAGCTGTGAGCAAATCCCAGCTCCAACAAGCTGCAGCACTCAATGCTCAGGTTAGATGACTTTGCTTCTGATCAAAACCGTGTTAGATTCAGCCTTCCTGTGTTGTTCATAAAGCAGATCTGTGCATGTGCTGGATAGACCTTTCTTCAGAGGCAAATGAAGGATGTCTCTTTTGTTACAGTACAAACAGGGCAAAGTGGGACCAGATGGGAAAGAGCTGATACCCCAGGAGTCTCCAAAAGTGAATGGATATGGATTTGTGGCTACACCCTCTCCTGCTCCTGGTAAGAGAATTTTCTTGGCTGTTGTGATGTAAGAGGATTAATACTTCATTTATCACGATGTACTGTTCATCTAGCRCTGCAGTATTATTATTGATGCTTAGACAAGTAGGTAAGCAGTCTGTCTGCACGTGTCTCATGAACTGATGGCTTTCTCGTGTGTGGTGTGTGCTGGCTTGATTCAGTGCCTCGCTTCTACTCCAGCCACTGGAGCAGAAGTCGTGAAGTATCTGAGAAGCTCTGAACATGCTGCCATGCAACTTCATAGATCACATCACATAGGGTGAGGCATTCTGGGCAAGTGGGGTGCTATGGAGCTTGTTTTATTCCTGGGCAGTGCTTTTCTAGTGGCCTAAAAGGATCTCAGACATTTCACAAGCATTAAACTTCTGACAAATTAAATTGTCCATCTYGCAAAATGGGGAGCGTTCATGACCAAATGCGTGTTGGGCAGTTTGCTGAGTGTTGGTTCAGAGTGGCACACAGAGGCTTTTCTTGCTTTGTGGTCTAGCCTGTGGTTTTCTCCACCTCTCCTGCTTTCTAGCTTCTTCTCCCTTTGAATACACTTGTGTGTTGTTGTGTGTCTCTTAGTTGAAATGTGATGTCTCAGTTTTCAGCTTTCTTTCACCAACCACTATGTTTCCTTGACTTTCCTCACTAGCGACAGTGAGGCTTTTCCTCTGAAGAGCCTGTAGGTGGCATTTGCAACACACCTCCTTTCTGCAGTGTAAATGCATTTTTCCAAACTTCGGGCAGTAAGATTCCCTAGCCAGTGATTTAATCAGTGCAGCTACTCTGCAGCTGTAGCTGTAAGGAAAGATACAGTCAGTTTGTCACATGCCAGCCTACAGACGAACTGAGAGTATGTCTGTCTGTAACATCTGTCTAAAGTCCTCTACCTCTTTTCCTTCTTTCAAGTGGTTCACTGTGTTTAAGGAGTTTTCGTAACAGAGTGGAAGACTAATTTTGTAGAGGAAAAAAATGAAAGTGTCTCTAAGCAAAAGCACAGCAAATGGAAAAGAAAACATATGGAGAGGACAGTGCTTGAGTATTATAAACTAGAGGGTGACACAGCTATAGGCAGTCCTTTGGATTTAAGATCATGCCCTCATAATAGGATACACCTTATCATTAAATAGAGGATGTGGGGTTTTTCCCCTGTGATCTTCTCTCTCTCTCTCTCTCTCTCTCTCTCTCTCTCTCTCTCTCTCTCTCTCTCTCTCTCTCTCTCTCTCTCTCCCTTTTTTCTCTTTGTCTCTTTTAAACAAAAACGTCTTGCATCAGTATGACTTTTCTAATTTATTGTAGGTGTGAATGAATCTCCTCTTATGACATGGGGTGAAATCGAAAGCACCCCTTTGCGTTTAGAGGGATCAGAAACACCCTATGTGGACAGAACACCTGGACCAGCCTTCAAGGTATTTCATGCCAGGATTCAGCATGTCATTCTTACTTTTTTGGGGGAAGGAGAAGGGAGGATGCACTAAAAATGGAAAGAGCTGCTTAACTTGCAGACTAACATTGCTGGGAGGTGTGTGACACATCTGGGCTGTGTTTTCGGTCCTTGAGAATAATGATCTAGATTCTGCTGGGAGGGTGGAGGTGGACGTGGCTCCACATGAAAGCTGCTTGGTGGAGGTGCCTGGGTGGAACACTCATTGCTGGCAAGAGGGTGAGACTCAGTGTTTTACAATGGGCCCAGACAAAGTGGCTTTCTGAGGAAGCTGGAGAGGCCTCCRATTTCTCTGGTTTTAATGTGTGAAAATAGAAATCTTTGGCTTCCCTCTGTCTTCTTCTTTCTGCTCTCACAATCAGGCAGCTGTATCACTTTCGGGCAGAAAAGGCATCCTGGATTTCCTAATGGCACCTGACCCTGCTGCTAGAGACCGTTTAGTTAGAAAAGGTGTAATTTGCTGTATGGGCCTCTGTTTTGAAGCCTTTGACTGCTTTTCCCCCTGTTTAGCAATGTGTGTGTTTGCCTGTGAGCTGGCTGGCTGCCGGCCAGCCTGAGCAAGACACAGGTGACATTGTTTGTCTAGGAGAGACAGCGGGAGGAAATGCCAGAGGTAGTGGCTGCTTCCTTGACTGAACTGGTTCTACCAATTTTGTTAGCTGCTAAGGCAGGCTCAAGGTCTCCCTGTGTCCTCTCTGGCTTTGGGTAGCAGCAGAGAGGAGTGGGCTGTCCTCCTCCCTCCCCACTTTAGCTCCTTGTGGGCTGCAGTACAACTGTGAAGGTGCTTTGACTCATTTATGCAGCACTCCTATTGGTACTCTGATGGGTGAACTGTGTGGTGTATTTATAGATCCTGGAGCCTGGGCGCCGTGAGAGGCTAGGACTCAAGATGGCCAACGAAGTAGCAGCTAAAAACCGAGCAAAAAAGCAGGAGGCCCTTCGAAAAGTCACAGAAAACCTGGCCAGGTAAGACTTGTGTTCTGCCTGTACAGACCCTGACAGCAGAATCGGGGATGGGTGTTTCTTGAAGAGATTTAAATCAGTGTGTGCAGAAAGGGAGGAATTACAGTGCTGGAAGCAGAAAGCGGTACAGTCAAGCTAAAATGTTTCAGAAGTAAAAAGAGACTTAATTCCCAAGGAAACGTGGTTGGTGGCTGATCTTGATTTTACCCTCCTGTGAGCCTTACTGTTCTGCCCTACAGCACCTAGGCAGTGCCCCAGAAATATGACCTGCCACGTTGCAGTAAGAGGAGGCATGAAAAGACTTGCTTAATTGGGTCACACGAAGGACAAAGCAGGCTCAAGGGAAAGATAGGCAGTGCTGTTCATATTCGGGAGGGACATCAGATGTGTCTGTGTTACTGTAGCTCTCTAGAGAGATGGGCTGCAACTACCAGCTTGTGAAATGTCTTCTRCAGCCAGTGGGTCTGGCCTGGGGGAAGTGGCCACCAAGCCCTCCCATGGGAGTATTGATGCCCTTCCTGATAAATGGCAAGATTTTAGTGAAAAATAATCTTTTAAACRTTTATTCTATTCCAGCCTTACTCCCAAAGGACTAAGCCCGGCTATGTCACCAGCTTTGCAACGGCTGGTGAACAGGACTGCGAGTAAATACACAGACAAAGCACTGCGTGCCAGCTATACCCCCTCCCCAGCCCACACGGGAACGCCCGGCTACAAGACGCCAGCAGCCGGGCCCCGGACGCCCACGGGCACCCCGCAGCCAAGGACAGTGTCTCAGACACCAGTGTCTCAGGATACTACGTCAATCACAGACAATTTACTGCAGCTTCCTAAAAGAAGAAAGGCATCTGATTTCTTCTAAAGAATTTCTGATTTCTTCTAAATAGTCCTTTCATCATCAAGGCGATACTGGATTAGCTGCCAACTGGATGTGGTGGAACCATCAGTATTAAGGGGTGTCTAAGTGCAGCTGCCAGAAGAGAACGCAGCAGTTTCTAGTTCTGGGACCAGCTCTCCTGTTAGACCACATCACTGAAGTAGCCTATGATGTGTTTTTTGGAAATGAAACATTTTCTATTGTGCTRTAACTTCCCTTGGAAACACAGGGATATGTTGTATAAGGCTGCCATAGCGTACGGATGCTTCCTGCAGTGACAGAGAAAACATTGGACTCTCGGAAAACAGCAAGGATTTTGTGAAGATATTTTTCTCTTTTTGAGATGACCCTGTGACTGCATTTCAATACTTCTGTGTACAGATATCTCTATTTATAAAATGTGGTAATACTTGCTCAAAGGTTGACTAAACCTTTCTGTAGCGTGTCAAAATTCCTTCTGTGCTTTGCAGAAAAGGGAGGTAGATCTTGCAACTTAAAAGCAAAGATACAGTCAGGTCTGTAAGCTCCTCAGTTCCATGTTCCAACTGTGCATATACTAAGACAGGACCCGGAATTTTAGCGGTCTTCTCTTTAATTTGACCAGAGCTTAAACTGATGATCTTGAGTGTACAGGGGGCCTGTCAAGAGCGTTAGTACCTCATGAGAACAGTATACACATACAGTTTTGGACATCAGCTGACACTTTCTARTAACCTGCCCTGCCCTTGTGGTGCTGAATCCACCGTGTGGCTAATGCACGTGTGGCTCCTTCGGCCAGTGCAAGCAGGAGCTTGAGAGATGGGAGCAGTGATCTGCAAATGCCAGTCAACTGCACAGTGACCTGAAGGAAAGCTGCCCAACGTGCGTCCAGCAGTAACTTCTGCTCCCTGCAAACCATCTCAGAGACAGGCCTTTTGAGTAGTGCTAAGCTGTTTGTTCAGCTCAGCACTGCATCCTCTATGCTTTGATTGTAAAGCAGAAGACAAGGACTATTTCTGAAAGGGTTCGTGGAATCAGAAGTTGAAACCTAGCAGTTCACGAGTTAGATCAGCTGCTGTGATACTGTTAAAACCAGCTATAACTAAGAAGATTCCTTTTCCCTCTCTCCTTCCTTTTCTGCAGGCGGGGATTCTGCTTGCTGGTTTTGCTCAGATTTTTGCTCTTGCAGGTTCTGGGAACACTCGCCCTCTTCTGCAGCTGGTGCTGTTGAAGGTTTTGCGGTTTCTGGAGTCTGCAACCAAGAGTGGCTTAAAACTTGTTCTATGTTCAGCCTCTGAGACACATCTGGCTGCAGCATGCGGTAAATGAGATCCTTGCACGCTGCAGTCAGGTGCCTGGACTTGGGGAAATGGATCTTGTGTTGTTTCTGAACCCAGACCATTTTTCTGATGTTAGAATCATCAAATGGCATTAATGCACAGACCATGATGTATAGGATGACCCCCAGGCTCCAAATGTCACAAAATTTGGGATTACAAGGAATGCCCTGTAGCACTTCGGGGGCTGCGTAAGCAGCAGACCCGCAGAACGTTTTACTGAGCGTAATTTGCCCGTTTTCATCCCGAGTTAAGGGTCTGGAAAAGCCAAAGTCTGACAGCTTGATGTTGAGGTCTTTATCAAGGAGGACGTTCTCACATTTCAGGTCCCTGTGAGCAAGATCCATGTCATGGCAGTACCTGATGGCAGACGCCAACTGCAGAAACTTTCTCTTGGCCATATCCTCTTTCATGGCTCCGGTAACCTTGATGTAGTCCAGCAGGTCTCCCCTTACGCCCAGCTCCATTATGATGTACACTTTGCCCACGAACGTTTCGAATATCTCGTAGGTTTTGACTATTGAGGGGTGGTTCATACGTTTCAAAGCAGCTATTTCCCTGGGGAGAAACTTCTCCAGGAAATCCTGGGGCGTTTTCCTCTTGTCGATGATCTTGATGGCCACGTTGCATTTCAGCCTGTCGCAGTAGGCCGCTTTCACCTTGCCGTAYGAGCCTTCCCCCAGCGTGACGCCCACGTTGTAGCCTCTCTTGCCAAGCACCATGATATCGTCCATCGTATTGGAGGAGCGGTGAGCGAGGGGGGCCGGGGGCGCCTCATCCGCACCAGCACGCTGCATCTTGCCGTTCCATGGTGGCCGCCCGGGCGCTTTGCGCCGCCGGAGCCCGCGGCTGCCCAGCGCTGCGGCTCTGTGATGTCACAAATCCCGGGAATGGAGGGAGCCCCGCGAGGAAGCTGCAGGGTACCACGAGCCAGGGCAACGCTTGGCATCGGGGCCTCCGGAGGCATCAGCCTGCGCTCCACCTCYGTCATAAATGGTCTTTGCATTTAGTTTTATCAAAGGGATAGAAGTAACTTAAGCGTTTTTCTTCCACCTTTTATAAAATGATTCTAATACTTTTCTGTATGTGCGCTTATGTTAGTCAGGTACTCAAYTGTGTGATAAAATAATTCAGTAGGGAATGATTCAGCTATATTTAGCTTTTTTTAATTGATATTTTTAATGGATTTTTATAAGAAAAGCTAACAGGAATATGCAGGTCGTTCAGGGGGTGGCTGCTTCAGGCTTTGCTTGGTCATTTGTAGATGTGTTTTCCATGAGATAAAATGACAAAGAAATTGATTAATGTTTACAAAACAAGCCATTTCCTAAAGTATAAAAGTATGGGAAGTTTTTCTGAGGTAACTTAATTCAGTGAAGTAGCACTCTGGAAGGGTTTATACTTTTGGAACATTTTCTTCTTCCCACTCTTCCTTTTCTTCCTCTCCATACAGTGAAATCTAGCGTGAGCTCTTTTTGCTGGATATCGTGTAGTTCCAAAATGTGTTGGTAAACTAGTTAAGTGGTTTTATTGTACAAGGGAGCAGTGTACTCTAGTTTTGCTGGTTTGGCTTGAAGGTTCAATTTGCTCCACTCCTGTGTTTTGCAGTGCTGAGGACTGGCTGCTTTTGCAGATGCCTTCTTAAACACTTGCTTGGTGCATGAGCTGTGTTTTGACTTCCAGGTTCTGGTTTCTAGAGGAAACCTTGTGCTAACAGTGTATTCAAAGCTGTTGTTTCTGTTGTTTTGCATGTTGATTGCTTCACCATAATCAGCCTCTGGGGGTTTTGCTGTTTTGATTTCAGCTTCTTCAAATTGCTCTTTCAGCTCCCACGTGTGCATCTTCAAAGACTTGCTGAAACCAGGGCCAGCAACAGTCGCGCTTAGTTCACTAGAATGGATAACAGTGTCATTCTAAAGAACAGAAGTGATACCACCGAGCTGGGCCTTCCTCCCTCCCTCTCTCTTGGAAGGTTTTGGCTAACTTTTGTGATCATCTCCCAAATGGAAGAGCTGCTTTCTGCGTGCCTGGGCCGCACGCAGAGCTGTGCTGGTCCCCGTGCRAGCCGACCCTTGAATGTGCCATGACGTGGCATTCAACCTGTGGCTTCCGTGCTGCGTGCGGGAGCCCAGCGAAGCGCTGAGCGCCGTGGGGCAGGACGCGGGCACGGGCAGGTGGCTACGCTCGCCCCACACCAAACACGGGGCAGGCTACGTAACGTTTGCCAGGTTTGGTGTTTGCTGTAATCAAGTGATGTCTAACCTAGGGAAAATTCTACACAGCGCTTTCAGCAGTGCCTCCAACTTCTGTGAGAAGATGTTTGCTGCCCTATTTATCKTGGAGGGGAGCTGTCTCTTGCCATATGCAAAACTCCCATCCCTTGGCTATGAATATGCTATGAGAACCCTTCCAAAGCACTTGACTTTCATAGTGTTCATCTTAAAAATCCTCCAATCAACATGGTGTTGATGAGAATAACTGCGTGAAATGAATAACTTGTCCTTTTTTTTAGTTTAGAAGTAAAGGCTGAACGTTTTCTTGAAGCTAGGCAGTAAAGTTAATCAGATATTTGTGCATGCATATGAAGAGGATCCATTTACTAACTTCCGTGTTCTCAGAAATGTCCTTTTAAGGACTAGACTGACAGAGTAGCCACAGAAATCTTAGCTAAATGTTTTTTTTTGTTGCCCCCCCCAATGCTGTGATGCACTAGCCTGCATGAAATTCAGGACCCCTCTGTGTGGGTACACAGACCTCAGTCTGGGCTTGAGTCCAGCCTCCCCATTTCTTGCTGCCTCCTGCCTCTGCCCCAGCTCTYGCGCTGAGGCCGGGGCTCTGCGCCGCGGCGGCCTCGGGCAGCGAGGGGTAGGACAGTTTAGGTCTGAGCTCTGAAAGCTCCTTGAGGAAGTGATTCGTGKCCCCCCTTCTGTGAGGGCAGGGAAGGCAGCAGGACAGCGAGCGGCAGCGGCGAGGTCCCTGCGTCACCAGGCGGTGCATCGTGCACGTTTCCTGCAACGCGGGGGCATCTCTGGGATTTGGGCATGTGCTGTTGGGTGCTCCTGGACGGAGCCTTCCCTTTGCGGCTGTGACGGTTCCCTCTTGTTCCCCAGACCGAGACTTTGAAGGACAATGTGGAGGCATCTGGACAGGTAAGACACAGAGGTGCCCTGCAGCGGAGYCAATGCTGGGGTATCCCTGAGCTTCCCCCCAGTGCTGCATAGAGAGAGCGAAGAGACCCTTCTGTCCCTCACAAATCCTGCTCGGGACTAGTCTGGCTTGGAGCCTGCTTTCGCCTCTGCTGCTTTGCACCCAGCAGCCTCTCGGGACTAAGCTTTGGAGGGGGAAATAAGAGAAAAGGGGGCATGTAACGTGCTCCTCTTTGAGGAGGACGGGGTGATGGGGACCCATTGGGTAGGGTTTCCACAAGGAGCACAGCAAGCAGAGTGTGCCATGCATGGGAGGATTTATCTAGATGTTCATGTTGATCCACCTTCATGTGTGCAGTGACTCTGCCACCCTCCCAAATCGGAGAAATGCAGCGAGCCACAGGAGTGCTCGCRCTGAAGACACTTCAAAGCAGGCGTGTATAAAATTATACCTGGGAGACGTGCAGGTGACATGGACAGGCATCCATGGTTTTAGGGGAGAGGTGTCTGACTTGGGAAAGCAGATCAAGGCTGGTGCTTTGGTTCTGGAAGGCCTTGGGGTGGCTGTGTAAGCACTGATGACTTCTTGAGTTTCATGAAAGCTTGACAGCATGATGCATCCTTACCAAACGTAAATTCCTTCTGTTCTCTTGGCTGAAATCTAATGCAAGGTAGATCATCCCCTCAGGAGAGTTTTCTGTAGAGACGGGAGAGATTTTGCCAGAAGCTCTGTCATTTTTCAATATGTTAGGATATCCCCGCTGGTGTCTACAGCTGCTCTGGAAGTGTGTGAGTCTGCAGCGGGCTTTTCCATGGCTGTCAGGCTCTGTGGATGTCCTCAGCTCTGCCAAGAGTACAAGATAACCCTGGACATCAGTTGTAAACACCTAAATTGCTTTTGTGGTCAAAGGTCAAGATTTAGGATGTGTATTAGYAAGGCTAATTTCAAAAAGAGGCTCTCCAGAACTGTGACTATAAGCTTTATTTTTTCCTCTTCTACCATTTTGTTACTCACAAAGAATTGATTCTCAACACCAGGAGTCATCCTTCCCTTCTGTATCAGGGAAAGGAGACACTTCTCTTTCAAGGAGGTGAGAACCAAGCCTCAATTCTCTCCTGGTGCCAGAAGAAGACTGTCCATGTTGGGTCTAGTCAAAGGACGGTCCAGCA